GTTAACCACTGTTATAACAAAGGTCGTTCATCACTCCTGCCAAGCCAATGCAATCGTGTTCTTTAGAAAATTATAGGAGAGCGCGTGAGAGCACATTGCTATGGGAAGCTGGCATTCATGGCTCAAATTTAAGAGGACCCAAAAATATTTCCTGCTCTGTTATTCTATGCAACAAAGTTTATCCTTTCATTTATGCAGTGCTTGGCGGTTCTGAGGGTATACTCAAAGCAAGCACAGTACATTGGGGCCATGTTAATTCAAACAGTAATATTTAGGGCACTGAATAAATATGCAATGAATATCCAGGGTCTCCAGAAGTGAAAAATCACATATTTGCAGACTGCTGCTAAGTATCCTTGAATAAAGTGACAGGTTTCCAAACATTTATGGATCCACACGCAAAAATGAAGAAAAAGAAGAAAGGAAGCTGAGGTCACATCCACAACACACATTTAAAGCAACCTGAAGCCACTTTAAGCAGCCACGGCATCCCCACAACATTTTTGGGGGAGCTGTAGTTTGTTAAGAGTGCAACCCTTATGAACCATATTAATAGGAGAAATGTGTACAAAGTCTGGAAGAAATACAAAAAAAAAAAAAATTGTTGGAAAGAAAAACACCTCTATGGCTATCCCCCACTGAAGCAATCACAATCAAGAGAATTAATATGGATAGACAGTGGGCAACCTACAGAGACTTGTTGGACCTTTCAGGAAGTGAACCCAGACTGAAATCAATGGAAGATTTAAGGAACCACGTTATAGATTGGTTACAGTATCACCAGTTACCAGTACATGATATGTTTAAACAAGATAAGAAAAATGGGTTTTTGGACCAAAACTCACAATTTGAAAGAGAGTTATTACAGAATAAGGATACATTTCTCTCTAAAATGTGTAAATTACTAATGGAATAGGAAACAAAGGACGAACTAGTTAAAGCATCAATGACACACTGGGCAATGGACATAGGCATAAGATAGATCTAAATCTTTGGGAGAAACTTAGGAAGAATGATTTGAAATTTACTGCATGCTATACACTGAAAGAGAAATAAATGAAAATGATTCATAGATGGTATTTAACCCCAAGAAGACTGGCTAAGATGTATAAAGTAGAATCAGATTTGTGTTGGAAGTATAAAGAAATGGTGGGAACTTTTTTTCATATGTGGTTGGCATGTAAAAAAGTTAAAGAATATTGGGAAACGATTTCTAATGAGATGAAAAAAAAATGTTTAAAACAACTTTCCCAAAAAGAGCGGAGACATTTTTGTTAGGAATGGTTCAGACAGAGGTTCCCAGGTGCCAGAAAAACTTATTTATGTATGCAACAACGGCAGCCCGGGTTTTGTTAGCCCAAAAATGGAAAGTGAGGGAGGTCCCAGGTAAAGAGATTTGGGAATTTAAGATGATAGAATATGCGAAATTAGCTGGTCCAACATATAGAATAAGAGAGCAAAAAGAACATGTATTTAAAGAGGAGTGGAAAACTGAGTATATGGAAAATAATTGTGCATAGTTGAAAATGCTGGCAGCATTAAGGTAAATTCAACAGTATAAAAACACTTGAGTGATGTAAGATTGGAGACCCTGAATAAAATGGTTATAGTAAAATATGCAGGAATGGTGGATAAGGAAGGGGAAGGAGGTCATTGAATGTATGGTTCTATGTACGATGTTTATTTTGAGATGTAAAATTGAAAACTTAATAAAAACAATTAAAAAACCCCAAAGGCTGCAACCCTGAATAAAGGGGGGGGGAGGCCCCCTTCATTTCCATGCAAAATGAACATGTTTGCCCACTTACTGGTAAATGTGATATTGAAGCCTCGCTTTTCGGTGGAGTGGTCAGTCTGAAATTCCAGCCTGGCGACATGGCCGCTGCTGGTCAGAGAAGACGGCAGCTGACTCCCAGAGAATGTTCCCAAGACAGGCGATTCAGCTGTCCCGCCATCCTTGATAGCCAGGAAGTCAAACTGGGGTTCCACGTCAAAATCATTAAAGGCCAAATGGATCCGGCTTTCAGGTTTTGCAATGATTAACCAAACGCAGTGCAGGCTGCTGCCGTATTCCTCTGGGTAGTTTGGAGAGAGAACGATGCCAGATGACGTGGTGAAGTTGAAGAAGCAGGAAACTGCAACGAAAGAGTGCGAGTGAAGGCTGGTGTCAGTTAGGTATTGGTAAATCTGTCAATTTCAGTTTCTTGCAGTTTTCCAATCTTAATTTCAGTTCTCCATATTTCCACATTGGTTTGAGATTTTTTGGAAAAAATGTCCTCATGAAAATTCATCAGCATTTTAGTGTGAGTTTATCCTATGATGCATGCATTTGTATGCAATTTCTCCTGCTGTGGAAATCTGCAAATAAATTTCCTCTAATGCAATTAATTTTTGTATTTTTGATAATATATGCATTTTACTGCACTCCTTAGCCTAGTTCATGCATTCTGGTACAAATCACTTGGCTGGAGGACAGCACTGCAAAATGAGGAGGAGGATGGATTTTGAATGATGGGTGTTTTTTTTAAGTTCATGTATTGTTTTAGAAAGTGCACTTTAACAAATCCCACCCCACCCCCCGTTCCTAATGTCAGACAAGCCATAATGCATCAAACTGGTCTGATTTATTTTTAGTTTATTTTTAAATTTTTTTAAAATATTTGTTAGTTGCCCTTTATCTAAAGATCTCAGAGTTTTGTACAAAAGTGTAAATAGAAACCAATTCAAGTTCCAATTTTAAACCAGGAAAACACCTGTAACAAAATGTAAGGGGGGAAAAAACAAGTGTAAAACCGAAGCAACCAAAGCACAAATTGAAACAAACAAAAATTATTTAGGAAGGTATTAATATTGCACTGAAAACCTTGGGGTGCTGGTGCCAGCATAAATACTCAGGGAAGGGATTCCAAAGCTGGGGAGCCACAGCTAAAAATACCCTCTGTCTTGTAGCAACAGAAGGCAGCTCAGCTAAACAGGTGACAGACTTCTGAATGTGAGATTTTGGGGAGGGGAGAAAGAGGGGGAGTCATGCAAACTAATAATCTCTCAGTATTACAAAGGCAATACAAGGAAAGGGGAAAAGAAAGGGGGGACAGAAGAAAATTGGCTGCCTCTGCATCAACGCAATAAGCAGCTTAGAAATTAAAAATAAAATAAAATAAAATGAAGCAAAACGTGGCAGTATTATTATTCACTTATCCCCCCTCTCTCTTATGTACCTCATTAGCTATGCTGCTAAACTTCTGTCTTGTAGCTGGGTCTTTAAAAATATATAAATAAAGTTATAATGTGTGTGTGTGTGTGTGTGTGAGAGAGAGAGAGAGAGAGAGAGAGAGAGAGAGAGCGAGAGCGAGAGAGAGAGAGAGAGAGAGAGAACCTTTCATTTTCTCGGCCAAGTTCAAAGTGCTGTTTTTGACTTATTGAGCCTTTTGTGGCTCAGGACCCCAATACCCCAAAGACTCCCCATTTGAATGGTCCCAGATGCTGTAATCTCCATCTGAGGCTCTTCTTCATGTGTCCCCTCCTTGAGAGGTCTGGAGGGTGGACAACAAGAGAACAGGCTTTTTCAGAGGTGGTTCCCCATTTGTGGTATGCTCTTCCCAGGGAAGCTCACCTGGTGCCATCATTACATAGCTTTAGATGCCCAACAAAAACATTTATTTTTTCACCAGGCCTTTTGCTATTAATTATCTATAGACTCCTTTAGTGGGTGGGAAGTTTAAACCTGCCTCCCCCCCCCTTTTCTTTAAAAAGGTCTTTCATATTTTTTGTTTGTTTTCCTTTTATGTCATTTTAATGTATGTGTTTGTTTGTTTACATATTGTAAGCTGTTTGGGAAGCCATGCTGTGGTTCAGATAAAAACCATCTTCTGCCAGGGGAGCAACAGATAAATGGCCTGGGAAGGCTGGAAGATGGTTAGAGACCTTTTCCTTCCAACCCCATCTAGAGGGAGAGGGCAAGGTAGCTGGAGATTGAAACAAAAGAAACATATATCTTTATCAATATCTTTTTTGAAGAGGGCAGTCTGGGAGAGGGGCAGATGACAGGGTTTAGGGGCAGTGTCCTTAAACTAACAGCATCAGGCAATGCAGAACTACATCTCTCTCTCTCTCTCTCTCTCTCTCTCTCTCTCTGTGTGTGTGTGTGTGTGTGATGTGTGATGTGTGATGTGTGGCAGTGTATTTAGCTGCCACTTGTAGTACTAAGTTGTGCTGCTACATTAGTTCATAGGAACACACAAGCTTCCTTGACTGAGCCAGTAGGAATGGGTGAATCTGTCAGTTTTGGGTCCTCTCAGTTTCTCATTTTTCCTATCTTAAGTTCAGTTATCCTTTTTTTTAAAAAAAAGTCTTCTTGACAAATCACCAACATTTTAGTGCTCATTTTTGCCAATATGCATATGTTTGTATGCAATTTCACCTATTCTTACATATAGTAAGTATGTAACAGCGTTGCCATGCTGCAGTTTGTGTAGCTGTCAACAGGTGGTGCTGCTTCAAACTATGGCGTGACAACAAACTGAGCTCTCAGAGCTGCTGGGTTATTTCAGCAGTGTTGGAGAGTGAGGAGGGACAGCTGGGGTGAGTGAGTGAATGGGCAGTCCAGGCTGGCAAGCTGGTTGCCCAGGTAAGCGGTTAGGGTAGGTGGCCCCAGTCAAGTCATAGAAGAGCAGTCAGGACAGACTGAAGCAGCTCCCCAACATCTGTCCTGTACTGCTGCTGCTGCCCTCTTCACACCTACTGTCAATCGAGCTGTAAGGGGACGGGAGGTGGTTCACACAAGCTATAAATATTGTGTCCCGTGGCAGTGGCTCTGCACAATTTCACATGGAGTGTTTCTCAGTCCTAGCTGTGGATGGTGGGGATTGAACTTGGGAACTTCTGCATGCAGTCCCTTCCAAAGGACACTGTCTCATACTGAATCAAACCACTGGCTCATCTGGATCAGAACTATCTATACTAACTGGTGGCAGCTCTTCAGGGTTTTCCTCAGTCCTTCCTGGGGATGTTGGGGATTGAACACAATACCTTTTGCACATGAAGCAGATGTTCTATCACTGAGCCACAGCCTCTCCCCCTGGTGTAACCATTCTGCATACAGTCAACTCTCCGCTTACATAGGGATTATGTTCCAGGGATAGCACATGAAGCCAAAATTGTGTATAGTCAAATCACACTCCACCTCCACCTCCGAATGCTCTTTCAAGGCCACTGAACACTCTCCCTGCACCTGCAAATGCTCTTCCAAGGTGAGTGCAGTGGCAGGTGGGATTGCTGTTGTCCCCTCCCCCCGAGAATGCCAGCCCCCTTTTTATTTTTATGTTTTTGGGCCAAGTATGTAAATCCGCTCCACTTCCCCGTGGAGAGGAGTTGCGGTGGACCGCATGGCCACCCACACTCCTCCGGGGGCGGGGGACTTAGTCCCCCATTGCCTGGGGGATCCTGGCCACATCAGCAACCGGCCAGCCAATCCACTGGCCGGGGGCGTGACTGGGACCATTTAAGCAGAGGTGCAAGCTGGAGGGCTTCCTCTTTGGCTTGCTTCCTCAATCACCCACCCTATTTGCAGGTTTTAGTCATTGACCTTGCTATGGACCTTGGTTGGTCGCCATTGAGGGGCCTGGTAGGAATTTTTCCACATGGCAGATTGGCACAGGCCATTTGGTTTTCGCCTACCTCGTAGTAATCATCACAACTTTGTTAGGGTTGTGGTTAGGGTTAGGGTGGTTTACCCTTACCGGACTCCCTGCACATCGGGTAGGAGTCAGATATAGTTGGGTCCATTCAATGCATAAGCCAATACCGCTCACATTCTGTAAAGCCATTTCCAAGCCTGCGGAGGAGGTGGGGTTGCGGGCATCACGCCCACCCCACGTGCGCGGGGGCTGCCTCCAGCCCCCGCGAGATTGAGGGAATCCCGGCCGCGTCATCAACCCAGCCAGCCAATCGGGTGGCTGGGGGGCGTAGCCTGCCCTATTTAGGGCCGGCATGGCCGGGCTCGCCCTCTTTTCGCCGCGCCAGCCTGAACGTTTTTCCCACCCTCCCTCCCTTTAGGTAGGCTTCTGACTTTGCTATGGGCTTTGGTCGGTCGTTGCAAGGGGCCTGGTAGGAATTTTTCCCAATTGGCAATTTCAGCCAATTGGTTTTTCGTCTACCTCGTAGCAACTCGTCACAACTCCTTGGTATTGGCGGTTACGCATTGGTAAGAAGGGGTTAAGAGGATGTGTGTGAGGGGGAGGAAACACCATCACCTCCTCCCCAAAAGCTAAGGGTAGTCCGATAAAGGATTCCGGGGGGGGCGTGGCCCTGTCCGAAGCCTATGGAGGTGAGGGCCTAAGGCACGCCCCCGAGTGGTGACCCGGGGGAGCTCCTAGTTGACATGCCTCAGCAGGACTCCTCCTTATGGTCTTCATGCAATCGGGCTGGAGCCGGTTAGTCGATAGGATCAATGCCTAAGCCAATACCTCTCATTCCTGAAATCAATAAAGTTGTGGCCTAATTCACCCGTTTAACCTTACTACCTGGTGTCCAGTGTCTTTATTTCTTCCTGGTGGGGGATGGGAACTCGCCACGCAATCAATAAAGTTGTGGCAAAAATTTGCCCAATAACATTAACCTAATATCTGTGTCCTTGTGTGTGTTATTTCTCAACGAGGGGGTGGCTTTGCAGTCTCGACATGCAAAGCTGAATTTGCACAAGTTAAATGTGCGTAAGTTGTGAGTCAACTGTATTGGTCAATAAGCTCAAAATGCCACAAGTCTCCACTGACCTCCTTCCAAAGGAAACTAATATCAGGTAAGCATGACACCCCTGGAACACCTTCCTGCTTAAACTGGGGCAAGCAGAACTCAAAAGTCACCCAATGCACGAGGCCTAATTGCAGTGTCTCCAAAAAAGTTTGTGTGGGGGCATACATGCATCTTCAGTCATTAATCTGGGATTGTCAGTGTTCACAGTGTTCCATTTTAGCTACATCTAAGACACTTGCCGTAAGATTATTACAAGGTATGAATTATTTCCTTGCCAGTGCATTCTGCACATCACTGTAGACAGCACACAGGTGTGGGTGGAAATGCTTCACACAAGTCATCGGGAAACAGTGGACAGGAGGAGCATTGCACACTATGGAAGTGGTGTGCAGAAGCTGCCACTTGGAGGCTGTTTCCCACAGGAATCTGGTTGTCCGCTGTGGGAAGAGGATGCTGAACTAAATGAGCTCCTGGCCTGATTCACCAGCCCCTTCTTATATTCTAAGCAACGGTTGAACCACAGAATTTCAACTCACAACATGCAGACTTTTGAAGCGCTACGGAGCAACTAGTTGCCACCCTGCCCGTCATCCTCTCCCTTTATGAGTAGGCCAGGGGCCTGAGCTAACCAGGTGTGAAGCCAGATGCTGGAAAAGTAAAGGCAATTAAGGAAAACGTTTAAAGCACAACAATGAACATGCAGCCCTTTAGCTGTCTAGAGGGATTCCCCCCCCACCACACACACATTGCAGCTGACAGGGTCCATTTGCTTCCCATAGCAAGGAGGCTGTTTAATTGGTACTGTCTACTGCTTGTCTAGCGACGCAGGTGGCGCTGTGGGTTAAAGCCTCAGCACCTAGGACTTGCCGATCGAAAGGTCGGCGGTTCGAATCCCTGTGGCAGGGTGCGCTCCCGTCGTTCGGTCCCAGCGCCTGCCAACCTAGCAGTTCGAAAGCACCCTCGGGTGCAAGTAGATAAATAGGGACCGCTTACCAGCGGGAAGGTAAACGGCATTCCGTGTGCTGCGCTGGCTCGCCAGATGCAGCTTGTCACGCTGGCCACGTGACCTGGAAGTGTCTTCGGACAGTGCTGGCTCCCGGCCTTTAGAGCGAGATGAGCGCACAACCCTAGAGTCTGGCAAGACTGGCCCGAACAGGCAGGGGTACCTTTACCCTTTTACTGCTTTTCTAACACATTACTGATTTAATAGTGCCCCCACCAACACCACATGCACAACCAAACTGGCTTGCGACGCTTCACCTCCTACTCCTGGATACCCTCTGGACCCGCCCCCCTTCCACCTAGTATGTAAAATCTTTTCATGTTAATTGCCGGCCAGAAGAAAAGGTTCATCAAGCATGTTTTCCCAAACACAGAACTGTATTATTTATGCCGTTGCTTTTCCACCTTCCCACAACCCCCACCAAAGGTTATGATGCCATGATTATATTTTTTAATCTATAAGGGCTATAATGGTCTAGCCATTTTCTGAAATGAGAGAGGAAATGGGAAGCAGTTCTATTACAAGGACAAAAGAACTAGGTGATGCAATTAAGTCATGGGTGAAAAATCTTTTTCAGCCCCAGGGCCAGATTCCCTGACAGTCAAGCTTCAAGCGGCCACATTCCAGTGATGGGCAGGACCAGAAGCAAAAGCTGGGCAGAGAAATAGATGCACCTCCCATCTCTGTACTATAGGCTACATTCCAAAATATGTTAATACAACAGGGCTTTTCCAAACTTTTTGCTTTACCCAAACTTTGTTTTCAACTGCCACTTTGCTCCCTCTGTGTTACTTTCTGCTTCTTCTTCTCAAACCTCTATTTTTGTTTACATTGGCCACCTCTTTTTCTGTCAGTATCCCTCTGCTCCAATTTACTCAAAAGTCTGACATTGTTTAAAACAACCACTTTTTTCTTTTCAGTTTTCCTCCCTTCTCACTGAACTCAAATGCTTCCCTCTTCCTTTCCTCAACTGTCACATGTGAAAGAGATAAGGGATGTAGATCCTACAAATATTTTGTAGTACCTTCCTAGAATGAAGGAACTTTACTCAAACCCCTGACATTGTTTAAAACTGCTATTTTCCTCTCCGTTTTCCCCATCTCTGCTTTACTCAAATTTCTGCCAGTGTTTTAAGACACCAGTTTTCCTCTCCCAGTGCTCCTCCTTTCTCACTCCCATGCCAGGACCACTGCTATTTTGCAACTGGCCTTCACTTTTGTTTCCCTACTTGACTTCAAACAATTGCAGGATTATGACAAGGCACTACTAATCCTCCAGTGAGAGCTGTGTGATGACATTCTTACCTTTTTATCATAGAGAGAGAGACAAAAGTCAGAGGTTTCTGCACACTCACCCTCAGCTTGCATCCAGGCAGCAAGATGCATTATCACAGGCCAACAACACTTTACTGCCAGGCAAAAGTACTTGAGAACGACAGGGAACAGGAATAATGGTGGTGGTGCAGCTGAGTGGCCAACAGAGAGTTATGAAGGTCAGGAAGAGAGGCCGCTGAAAAGTGTTAAACTAGTTGTCCTACACTGGCAGAGGCAAGCAGTTCTATTTATAAAGGCTTCCAGGACCAAATCATTCACAACAGTATCCAAATTGCTGGTGAACTTCCATACCACCTAAAAGACCTGAAATGTGGTTGACTGTATAGACAAAGGCAACTGATTTACTGAAAAAAGTTCTCCAAGTTAGACATTTACACACCTCTGTCTTGAAACACAGTAAATAAAGAATAAAATTTAAGGTAACAGAAGACATATGTACGTACACAACACATCTCCACACCCACCTTAGTAATACAAACTCTCCTCCAAAGCTTCTGCACACATTGACACCCCCCCAAAAAAAAATACCACTTTATGCATCACCCCTCCAGACATGAAACTTGATTGTAGGCCTTTGGAAACTCATGCAATCTTACTGGAGACTAGGAGCTGTACCCCTATTCATGTTGCTCACGAAGCCCACCTACTTGCCACCCTTTGCCAAGCCCTATCTCCTTGCCAACCCCACTCCCTTTACACTTGACCAACCCCCCCATTACAGCTCTCCACCCACTTTACACTTCATTCCATTGCCCCAAACTAGTGGTGAACATGACTTTCTCCTTTCCAGAGCAGCCATCACAGAAGCATGGGGGTGGTTTACAAAGGGGACAAGGATTTTCTCTCCTTCATTTCCCTCCCACCCACTAGTGGTGGCGCTAACAGGGGAAGCAGCAGCATAGTGTAGCAGGATGGTTGTAGGGTAGCTGCCCCAGTCTGTCCCTGTGTGGCTTACCTGGGCTGCCCACCACCTGCACTGCTTGTTCTCTC